CAGTGAATCACAGCTCCTTGTCAGAGAGGCCTCATGAACCCTAAGGCCAGACTTTTGGTGAAGAGGATATGGTAGAAAATAGTTGTTCTGTTGGAAGAGAAGCAGAAAGGATGGGAAGAGGTTTCTTCACTCAAATATTCTACCATGAACTGTAGTTTAGTTGGTCCCAACAGAGGCATACTCCCCACGTGTAATGAACTACTACATATTTTTGAAGAGAACATACTGGGGTAACTTTTACTGAGCAGCAATTTTGCCTCACTTTCTATTTAGTCTTCTAATTACTTAACTTCTTTGGGAAACACACACACAAATTTTGTAGAAAAAGTATGTGAGTGTCTCCGTGTCTCAGTTACTTTTCTCATTGCTGAGACAAAATAACAGCACCGAAGGTTAAAGGGGGAGAGGTTTATTCAGCTCGTAGTTTGCAGAGATTTGAGTGCACAGCTGTCGGGATCCAAGGTGCACTGGCACAGCAGACAGTCAGCGCAGCAGAGAAACAGTTCACGGTGGAAAGAATGTAGCAAAGCACCCAGGGATCTTAACAGCATCTTTCTGGCCTCTTTGTCTTATCCAGACTGTTTAGAGGGGGCACTCACACCCTTAATCCTAGGGCCCTTGAGCCAGCTTTGACTGCATGAGACTTTGGGTATCATCTAAGCACAAGCTGTAACATCCTGCCCCTGCCCCACAAAGACTTATGTGTATCCTTTTATCCATTAAAGCACTTAGCCCACCTCAAGAGTTGCCAAAGTCCCATTGTGGAGAAGTCCAAGTCCCAAATCTCCTCTGAGATTGATGACAAATTCTTACCTGCAAGCAGCTGTAGAAATGAAAAGTGTTAAACACTTCCAACATTCAATGGTACAAAAAAGACATTCCCATTCCAAAAGGTACAAACAGAGGGATACTAAGGAATGAGATCAAAGCGACTTAGAAATCCTCAGGGCAAACGTTCAATCCCACATATCCACACCAGCATCCCTGGAAATCTGTGGCAAGTTAAGAACGCCAAAGGCTTGGGTGACTCTGCCCCTATGGCACAGCCAGTGACTATAGCTGCCATGGCTTCTCTCTGGGGCCAACTGTACTCCATCCTTGTGGTTTTTTTCAGAAAATCTACGTTCTTGGCTTCTCCAAACTTCTGGGTCTCCACTGCACCTTTGAATTCACAAACAGCTTCACACACACTATCCTCTCAGGGGCACACAACCTGGCTTCCCAGGCATTGTGAAATCTGCCTGAAAACTTTCCTGACCACACAACTCTTCCATTCTGCATGCACCTAAAAACAGCACCACCTGCATGATGGCAGTGTCTGCCTCCGCCTCCTCAAGAGCCAGGTTTCCTTCTCTCTTCTATGTAGGGGTCCAGTGGCTGTGAACCAAATTCCAAGGAACAACTTCTCTATGCCACAGAAATTATGGAATACCATGCTCTGAGGGTCTCTTCTGAAAGCAAAGTCTTTGAATTCCCAATTTTGAGTCTGCAAAGGGTGGAGTCCCATTGCTTTTTGGATGCTTTCAGGCTATCTTTTCTAGTCGCTCGTTCTTGAGAAAGATCTCCTCTGCTCTATCTTTCCATTCCACAGCTTTGCTGGAGCTTCCTTTCTGGCCAAACTTATGCCTGAATCATTCTTCTGGGCTCCTCACGCTTGACTGACAGCAAAAATCTGGCCAAAGAATACACGTCCAAGTAAATGAACTTATGGAGATGGTGAAAATCCTCAACACCCTGAGAAGCTGGGCGTGAAGCAAGATCATGCTCACCACAGTAGAAAAAAAGAGAACATCTGCTGGAACTGAATTCCTGATATTTTGTTGACCTTAGAATAAAAATGAAAAACACCTTCCTTCTCCAGTCTCTGGTCTGTGTCTCTCTCCACAGGGAAGTAGTGATTTCAATACACTGAATGGCAATAGTCCTGCTACTTAGAAAAGAACAGTCATTGGCTGTAGGAACAACTCACAGGTGGGAGACTTCTGTGAATCCAAAGAAAAGAAAATGTCTCATCCTGCTAAGATTGTGCGTTTCTGTGAAGGAAAGAAAACACAAGTGCTAACAGGTGAAGAAAAAAAGCTCTCTTGCTAATATTTGTAGAATAATATGGAAATGAGATTGATTCTGTATCTGAAGCATCTCTTCCACTTAAAATAGCTTGAGAATATTTTCTCCAAAACTCTTCCCAAAGGGGATGGTAATTTTATCTTAAAAGTCGTAATTGCTCTTTTTGTTGTGCATGTAGTAAGTGACCGATTATGCTGACTCTACAAGACCTCTTCCACACTCCATTTGTCTCTGTGCTCTTATGCACAGGGGAGCGTCATCGTCCACTTGTAGTTAGGAAGGGTCATTGGAGGACCCTTC